GTTTGCGCGACTCGTGCGGATGACATGATCGTGGCGCGAGTAGGCCAATGTTTATGGAAAACGATCCCGGTACAGTCTGTGAAATTAGAAAATTTATATGAATGTGATCGTGTTGTGAATGGCTGCGTTCAGCTGAAAAAGCAGCTTTGCAATTATCGTAAAATTCTTTAACATGATTAGTCTTGCCCTTATTAGTTCCTTATTGGATCTAAATGTATAAACAATTCGTATTAAAGAATTTTACAACGGTTGCAAACCTGTTTTTGCTGCTAAATGCAGCTTGTATATAGTACATACGTTAAAAATATATGTATTGGAGCATCGTCAAGATTGCGAGAGATTAATCGAATATTATCGAACCAAGGATAAGTTATAGCACAACTTTTTGGCATAATAAACGAACATATTTTTTCTATTGGACTGTTACGTATCGTCATGACCTAGTTACAAAATAGAAGTAATAATAAAAATAAACGCGATTAGTTCAAAGCAAAAATAAAACAGTTGTCTCTTGATAATTTCCTTTATAATACTGTGAATATTCTTCTGCAGTAAGATATATATATATATATATATAGGTATATATAAAAATACAGTACTGCTAACAATTCTATTACTATATGTATATATATAAAACAGAAGATTAAAACGACTTCCTCTTTGTAAAAAATACGTTGTCTCGTGAATGTATCATCTTAATAATTTTCTGTCATAGGTAGGGCAAAAGGTAAATTTAAATTGTCAGGAAGTTAACTCGAGAAAATCACGCAAGATTCACGAGTCATTAGCGAGTGACCCGGTAAGGTCCGTGCGCGGAACTTTTCGGGATCGAGTTTGCCGTGTTCTGGCAGTTCGATAATCGCGCGCGTACTCCGTAATATCGCGTGGCAACGAGGTTGGTTTGAATGGCCGGAGAGCGCATCGGTCGCGAAGAGACGGATATTCGAATTTTTTTCTCGTTTCGCGCGCGCGCGCGTGCGTGCACGTGTATACGTATATGTGTGCGTCGCGCTCTCTGTAGGGGAGCAAGCGGGCGTTACGTCGAAGCGGCCGTAGGCATAGTGATCGAAAATGGCGGGAAGAGAAGAAGGCGGGAGGGAGAGAGGGGGACAAGTGGGAGAGAAAGAGGGGAGAACAGAGAAAGAGACAGGTGGAGAAAGTGAGAGAGGGGCTCGCACACTCGCCCGAAATACACCAAAACGCTCCGACAAATCGATAAGCGGCTAGAAACGAAGCGGGAAACGTGGGTTACGGGCTGCAGGGCTACTCTAACGCAGCATCGCACACAAGCGGGAGATGAAATGTAACTCACACCACCCAACTCCCTGATCTGTGCCTCTAGCTTGGCCGCAATGGCATGGTTCTTTATGTCCAAATAGAACGACTTCCGTTCCAAAGGTTGCAGGCCTCTTCGTATACGAATATCTACAAAAAAAAGTTTTAAAAACCTTACTAATTTTTCCATTGCGATCAATGCCAATGATTGTTTTGTCACACCTGTAGACGCGATGAGGCGTGACAAAGTTTTTTTTCGATCAATTGTCGATCCCAAATGAATCAACTGAGCGTGTAGAGCATCAGAAATATTTTCCACGGACTTTTCTTTTTCCGAGAAATGCGTTATAAGAAGCGTCCACTTATCGTATTTTAATTGCTGTCTTACATTCGTACCAACCGCTGTACAAATCACATGATACAGACGAATTGGTGCAGCCTCTAATCAAGCGATAATAACAATCTTGTTACTCACATCCAGAGAACGTACTATAAGACGGGATATATAAAATGAATCATCATTACTATTTGCACCGTACAGCGAAGGAAACGCTGGTGATCGCTCAGAGTACTCGTTTCAGCATCAGTAAATATTCCATTATTTGCACGTAGCGTCCAAGCTAAGACAAATTTGGAAGGCATCTCGGTTTTCTGTAAAACAACTCGAGTTCCTCAGTGACAACACGTAACAATATGTCCGTAACAACCGTCTCTTCGCCGATAAAGATATCCCGAGTACTCTCAGTGATCACTGATCGGTCCCTCGGCGTGTATTTGTGTGTGTGTGTGTGTATGCGTACGTGTGTGTATGGGTAGAGAGACAGGTACGTAACGTGTCAAACACAGCCGTGCAAACGTCTCTACGCAATGTCCATTAACGGCCGGCGCGGCGGTTATTATGCAATACGGAATTATATACGCGCTCCAGGACTTACCTGGCTTTCGTCGCGGATTAAACTTGTTTTCCCTCGACGGTTGTCTGAGTTGCTGTTGTTGCTGCTGCTGCTGCTGATATTGGTGCTTGGACGGCGATACCATTCCTAAGCGATGATGATGCAGCACCGCGCGACGTACTGCAACGACGTTATCCCTGACTCACTTTCGTCCCTCGTCCTCGTCGTCGTCGGCGCACTTCTTCCCATCCTCATCGACACGCCGAGTAACGTCGCAGAGGCGCGGTCGCATGCTCCGTCCTCGCTCGTCTATATCTCTCACTCTCTCCCTCCCTCCTTTTCTCTTTCTCTGTCCCGTTCTTGTTTGCTAGAATGCGCGCGTCACAATCGTACACTTAGACCGAGAACACTCTCTATCGCGGTTACTAATCTGCGTGCCGTCGGCCGACGTGATCAGATCGCATCCTCAATCAAAGCGAGATCACAGAAATCCAAATCGCTCGCCCGCTCGTTTCACACTTTCAAGCCTTCTCCTCAGACCTCGACAGACGTCGATCAGCTTCGATCAGCCTCGGCAATCAGCAGTCTCGGCACCACTCGGCACCGTAAACTGAAATTCTGCGTGCTGAAGTCAGCAGCAAGAACGGGTGGCGACGGGCAGCGAGCACTGGTGGGCACACGAGTGCAGAATGGCCAACTTCAGCGCGCTCGCTCACAAATGTCACGATTGCCATGACTTGGGAGATAATGAATTGTTCGACAAAAGTAAATTTCCCCGTGATTCTAAATGAGATCAAGATGTTAATTTGTCCGCGAGATATTTTTTTATCTGCGTAGTGGTGAGAAAAATGGGTCGAATCGATATTATTGTTGTGGCATGCTCAAGATTTTAGGAAGTAATAATCCGATGCATTGGTACAACTGCGGTGGTGACAAGTATTATTTTGGCGCCTCGCAAAGTTATTAAACGAGACGTATGACGATTAATATTCATTCACACGACGAAATTTGCTAAAGAGCTATTGTAGTCGCTACAATGAAGTTTATACAAAACGTATCGAATTGATTACGATTTAGTTACATTGGCGCGAGGGATCTTCAAACTTGTCGTGCATGCTGCCGTGCAAATGTTGCCTGTATTCAATTCGTTAGATGATGGCGCTGGTGGTGACGGGCGCGAATTTTTGAAATAAATTTCTCTCAAAAATGAAAATCAGTTTTTGAATCCGTTCTCGTCGAAATTTATAAATTTAACGATACGCTTGAATTATTAGGTGTTGAACTTAATTCCTGCCGCTCGCTACTAGAGAGTGCTGGCTCCAACGCTGGCGAGTTTCGACGATGAAGTCATATGTCTTTTCTAGTTTAGACATCGCTGAAAGTGATTCAATCCTCACAGGTTAGATTTCTCGACGCCAAAGAGATTTTCCAATCGATTGAAAATGATTATCCGTAGCCAACAATCGACGCAAAGTCATTTTGTTGCATGATAACGCTCGACCGCATGTCGCGAAAAGCGTGAAGCAGACACTTCTAGAGCTTGAATGGGAAGTTCTCCCGCATCTAGCGTACTCTCCAGACTTGGCACCGTCGGATTACCATCTCTTACGATCGATGCAACACGCACTTACGGACACACACTTCTCCAGTTACAACGAAGTCCAAAAATGAATGGATGAATGGATCGCCTCGAAAGACATCGCGTTCTACCGTCGTGGGATTGCCCTGTTGCCAGCGAGATGGGAAAAAGTAGTAGAAAATGGAGGAAATTACTTTAATTAAGGAATTCATTCATCTTCCCTTCGAAACAAATCAATTTTGTAGACGAAAAAACGGCAGGAATTAAGTTCAACACCTAATAATATTTTTGATATTGCGTTGAATTAATTTTGATTTTGTGTTTAAATACTTTTAATATTGCGTTTGTTTATTGGACGAATATAAATTACTACGCTTAAAAACAGTTTTCTAGGCATTCCGTAATAAAAAACAAGTTTAGAAAAGTACAATTCTTTAATTTCTTTTCGAATTCAAAAATAAAATATATAAATGCAAATAAGATTTTCACAATATTCATAAAATATTTAACAAATCTTTGTTCACTAATGTTTTTCGCTATACTTTTATAGATGAATAAATCAAATTATTGTCACTACACTAGTTTACAAAAAAATGTTTCTTTTTTAATTATTTTGATTTAGACAATGTATTTCTTATAGATTTTTGGATGCAGAAAACGATACTGCAAATCAAAATTTCAATAGCACATCAAGTTCTCGAAATAATTGAGATTTAATATACAAAAATGACTTTGTGATATTTGATATTTTTTTAAATAGTTGACGTCATCTTGAAATTCTGATGATTGAATGATTCTTTACAAAAAAATTTAAATATCATCAAAAAGCCATTTTTTGGAACATTAAACCTCAATTATCTTGAAAGCCTGACGTGCTGGGATTTTCTGGCTTGTGACATCGTTTTCAGTGGCTGTATTCTTGAAAAATATCGCATACAGAAATATAAAAAATACTACAATATACATTATGTATATCATAGATTTCCCTAATATTTTCGTAGGCGATAATTTTCAAATATAAGGCCCGCATTCAAAAATCTTATACGCCTAGTCTGGTTTAAGTAAAAAAAGTTTAAGCAAAAAAGTAATTTTTTTGCTATAAACTAGTGTTATAAGCATCATCGACGTAAGAAAAACATACAAATTTTAAATTACTATTCAATAGGTAACAATAGATATAAACATTATTATACATAATAATATATGTCCACAACCAGCTTATTCTTACAAAAAGAGATTTTCAACATTAATACATGAAATATATAAAAAATATAGTTCTTTCTTATACGTTATTAATGCATATACAAGGAATTTATTCTACACGATCAAATAATCTAAATTTATTGCGTAGAAATATCTGTAGCTTGTTGGAGCTTTTCTAACGACGGGGTAGACTGTAGCGTCACTTTTGTTGCTTTTTTTTGCTTATATTTATAAATCAATTTTATTATAAATAAAATTGTTAATGGTACCGGTGTCATCATTGCAGCAGATACAGGAACCACTAAAAAGATAACATTTTGTTAGATGATTAAGGTAACTCGTGTATGTATATATTCATATACATACTTACCAGTAGTTAGGTCGTCAGCGGGTGGCTTCAATGTAAATCGTAATAAAAAGATCGCCACGCCTGTATTCTGAATACCAGTTTCAATTGCAATCGCCCGTATATCAGCTTGAGATTGCTTGCAAATATACGCTATTATAAAACCAAATGTAAAGCCTAACCAAGGTAAACCCATTCCTGCGATTATGATCTGAGATAAAAAAATCAAATTATAAAATTTGTACATTTTTTCGTGAATTTATAAAAAATATGTAGACTTACCTTCCACGTAAACAGTTTAAATATATATAGATTAGTCATGACAGCAAATATAACGATGAATATAATTAAAATCACAGAGAAAGGTTTCATTACTCGGACCAATATCTTCGACACTCTTGGAAACTTTTTTTGAATCAAAAATCCTATGGCCAGTGGAATTATAAGACCAATTACGAAAGTTCCGATATGCTCGTAGGGAACTGCGATTTTTCCTTGTGCGAAAATATATCTACCCAATGTGAAGACCCAAAATGGCATCATTCCTTTGAAGAATAGTAAAATATTATATACAAGAATTACTTTTATGTTACATATTACTTACCAAATGCAGCAATGGTACATATAGTGGTCATTGTGATTGAAAGATTCAGATTGCCATCAAGTAACAGTGTCCACATATTAGAAGCGCCTCCACTTGGACTTATTCCTGTGAAGAACATGCCTATTTGCAGTTCAGGACGATCAGGAAATAAAAGATATCCAATGAGAAAACTTAACTGGAAATTATGTAAAATCAGGATCATGGAAAATCTGACTGACAAAAGAACAAGCAAAGTACATTGCAACGTTAGCATAGGATCTGTTTTTTGTGGCTGAACCAGTGTACACTTTTGGAACTTAAAGTGAGACAGGTAGATGTTTAAATCTGGCGAAAACGAGGAAGAAAATTCTAGTGCAGTTTAGTGCAGGAATAAAAAAACAGACCTATAATATCTGTATGTATCAACTGTTTGATACATCTTGTACGTTTACGATTTACCAATGGCATGATCAGAAACTGGCAGAAGAAACCTATGGCTGGACCTATTGGCCTTCTTAATGTATTGCGACATACGTTCCAATCTATAGCGCAGCCAAAATTGATATATAAAATGGATACAAGTATTGCTACACTGGCAGTAAATATAGAATCTATTATGCGTTCCTCTCGTATTACGGTAATAACAGCTACTTCTTGATCCTCTTTAATCTAAAAGAAAAGAAATTTTGATTATTCTAAAAAAATAAAGTAATAAAATGAAATGTTTATTTATATTTTAACACTTACCGCCATTTCTGTCATAGTAAACGTTAATGTCGTCGTACCAAGGAATACGCCAGTGATATTAAAAATACCACTGAAAGAAGTTTTGTTTGACTTTGTAGATTGATAACTTAGTTTTGCGATATGTTGATCATCGGTATTAAAATACCATACATGTAGGCTAGACATATTATTATTATGTACACTGAATGGGATTGATATTACTTGATTCATATGTACAGTTATATCATGTTCAATATCAACGGTCCAAGCTGCTGCTCCTCCTAACAACAGCAGTCCTATCACATATACAACACCTGCCATTCTCTAAAAATAATAAAAAATATATTAATTAATACACTCATCCTGATATACTTCTTTAAAAGTGATTTCACTAACACGATTTGTTGTACAACAATTATCTCCTGAGTATATTAACATTCAATACCAAACTGAGAGTAATATCAAACTGAGATAAGAATATAAATATGAAGTAAACAATAAAAGAGGAGACATAAAGACTGTAAAGAACGGAAGATAACTAAGCAAACACGATTAGATAAGGATGTAAAAAATCGTTTTCCTCTCCGAGAACGTTCTGGTAAAGAAAGAAATAAAATCATTATTTCCGCGACGACTAATAAGCGACTTTAGAAACGTTGCAAAAAAGGTAATCAAACACGCATGCATACACACGCGCATGTCGTGCACCGACGAATTCATGCGCCTCGGCCCTCGACGCGCGTTCACCGTCGCGCAAGAAACATGCATACGCTCGCGATCATAATCGACAACGCGCGACTCTCCTCGTTCGCCGAAGCCGCAAAATCTTACAGCTCAATTGCATAATCGGTGAGCGCGAACGCGACACTACGACGGGCAACGTGGTGGGAGACGGACACGCTTCAACGGATGACAGTTGCGTCCCGTGAAATCTGCGACTTCGACACGCTAAATTTACATCGACCGCCGCCGTCCGCTTCTTTCCATTGCGATTGGACTGTCGTCGGATGCGCGATTATTACGCGACGTAAACACCAAACACTATGACGCACCGACTATTTCCGCCGAATCGCAACTCGCAACGACGGCCGCGCGTTGCGTCAATCGGTTCGTTCGCGGACTCTACGACGAAGCTTTCCCATCCGTTTTAACCGAACCTGCGATCAACGCAGGTTAATCTATAGCTCTCAGTCACACTCAACGTTCGGAAGTATTATTTATCCTTGTTTAACAAGGATGAAATGATTCAGGAAAGTGAGTGCAGCATATATAGGGTGACCCAAAATTCGCAACTCAAAATACATTGTAACAAGAGCTCTCAAAAAAATTAAGTAAAAAATTGTTTATAAATTTTTATTTTAGCCGGTAATTTTTTTCATTTTATTTAGATCTCATAACCGTTTAAATATGGCCAGTTACGGACTACGGATTGTTCCACCTTTTGATAGACTTCAGCTCACTCTCTTATTCTCTTATTTGTTCTTACTCTTTTGCTCTTTTTTTTGTTTATCTATTAGATAAATTATCACAATAATAATTACAAACGGACTCTCAAATTCTAAATAATAACATACAAACAAATAAAAGTAATGAGAGTCAGCGCAGATAAAACGGCGCAATTATAAAATAATTTAATACTCTGTAATTGGAATAATGTCTTCTTTATTTGAAAATGAACTTATTTGAAAATAAAGAAGACATCATTCCAACTATAGAGTATTAAATTATTTCGTATTAATTAAATTAATACGATAATACAGATAATTATAAATTAATAAATAAAAATAAATAAATAAATAATAAATAAACAAATAAATTATAAATTATTATTAATACAGATAATCATCTAAGGATCGATTGTTCTATCTTCAGATAAACTAATAATGTGATAATTTATAAAAGTAGGCTAATGAGCCGTTTATCTGCGCTGACTTTCATTAGCCTACTTTTATAAATTATCACATTGTTAGTTTATCTGAAGATAGAACAATCGATCCTTATTAGATGATTATCTGTCCACGAGTCATTATGTGATAGTATTAGTGAGCGTTGATGAGCACGAACTTCAGCACGCTCGCTACTCTCACAAGTAAACTCAAGAAATACTAATATCAATGACGTTGAAATGACAATAGTAGAGTTTTTGAAAGTAAATAATGAAAAATTAGAGTTTTCGCTATTAATTCTCGATTCCTTAATTGCACCGTGTATAACTGATTGTTGCACATGCGCAAACGTACTTTCACGTAAATTTAAAAAAACCCACTCGATCTTAATTTATTTCCAAGAAGCAAGCAAATCCTGCGGTTCCTTTTTTAGATCCCTCAGTCGCTTTTTAATGATGAGAATTATGAAAACAGTTCCTCCGTTTTTTTAAACTCAATTTATCAGTAAAAAATGTTTCAGCAATGCCTGTTTATTCTATAAGTACGACTCAGATACAGTCCATTCGAATTTCCATCACTATATTGGTCAATTTTCCTTCACTCATTGAAGGACTCAATATGTCCTTTTCATTTTTTTTTTTTTTTAACTTTCACGAGACGCAACTTGCTGATCACGATGAGATTGGATCTTGTCCGCGAAAGAACGCGAACAAACGTGAACAAATGACTTGCTCACGGGATTTATCGAGGCGGATTGTTCATTCGCACTATTATGTGTTTGGTTCGGTTATAAAAATAAACCCAAAATAAATCCAAAATAAACCCGATTTTATGCGACAACTGTCCGCAAGAATGCGATGGAAGCGCTCCCGTGACCGAATTTACGGCGGGCACTTACTTCTCAAGAATTCGCGATGCACCATTTGCAGCACGTCACCACGAGCTCGCTCGACTTCGTGAGAACACGTATCGACCGGTAGCGAAAATCCTGAACGCACTGCTACGTGCTCTTTATCTCAATTATAACTATTACTTTCTACCGTTGCCCGATTGCGGAGCGTGTTTGAGACGACACTTCAGACTTCAGAGTGGAGACCAGTGGTTACGGTTACACCGTGCATTTAGGCCGCGGCCTATACGATAGATATCTTTGTTTAACCTACAGGATAAACAAGGACATCTATCGTATAGGCCGTAAATGCACGGTGTAAACGTAGCCAGTGGGGACCACCGGCGATATACTATATATATAATACCTGCATTACAAAGTGTTGTGTCGATCGATACTATGGTCGGTATTCATAGTCGATTCTTATATTTGAGACTGTTTAAATACAGTCTTAAGATGTCATCAGCCAATCAGAGGGCTGCATTACCATCTTAAGACATTACTTAAGACGGTCTGAAAATAAGGACGGACTATGAATACCGCTCTATGTGGATAGTTAGGGTCTGTGGGGATCGATTCTGCATCTTGAAACGAGGTGAAAATTACAAAAGTGAGCGAATTTACTAGAATACTGATAATTTCATTGGTCAACACCTAGTAAATTTGCTTTTGTAATTTTCACCTTATTTGAAGATACAAAATCGACCCTCTGAACACAAGAATTGTCGTAACACTTACTTATGCAAGGTCTACAATAGAAGTCGTAACAGTCGTATGGTCTTAAGTCGTAGAAAATTGATCAATCATAATTGATTATTCTTCTCATATTCGACTGTGATTGGTCAATTTTCTACGACTTAAAACCCTACGACTGCTACGACTTCTATTGTAGACCCCGCATAAGTTGTAGACGTAAGCAACGCACGAGCTAACCAATCATAAAGAGTCCGATTACGCGAAAAAGAGGGACAGGATCGTTCTGATTGGATAGCTCCGCATTGTGTTTTTTTTCCGGTAGTCCGGATCTATAATAGGTGTTTCAAACCTTAAGCTGTAAGAAATGGACGAACCACAGTCGATTATTCTCCTCGAATTCGACCGTAACTCCGGATCTACAATAGGTGTTTTAAGACTTAAGCCGTAAGAAACTGATCAATTATAGTCGAATCCGAGGGGAATAATCGACTGTGATTCGCCCATTTCTTATGGCTTAAGGCTTAAAACTCTATTGTAGATCCGGGGTAATTGGTCAATTTCTTACGACTTAAGTTAAAACACCTATTGTAGATCCGGACTTACTGTTTATTCTGCTTTTTCCTTCTTCATGGGGACTCACTCTTAGTACTCATAGTCAGTTCTTATATTCAAGTCTTAGGCCCGTATTCATAGTCAGACCTTGTACTTAAGACTTCCTTAAATTTATCTTTAGATGCTCAGTAGCCAATGAAATAATTCGTAGAGCATCTAAAGATAAATTTAAGGAAGCCTTAAATATAAGGCCTGACTATGAATACGGGCATTAAGTTCAGCCTTGAGTGTCACCAATCAGAAAGCCTCATTAGTGTCTACTTAAGACGGTCTTGAAATAAGAATCGACTATGAATACCGGCTTTAGACCAGTATTCATAGTTCTTATTTTAAGACTCTCTTATTTCATGGTAGAGGGCTAGAAATCTTTACAGGAGACTTTTAAGAAGAAGAAGGAGAAAAGACCGTCTTAAAAATTAAGATGCTAATACTGTTCTGTGATTGGTTTATGATATCTAAGTTGAATAATGTATTTAAGACAATCTTAAATACAAAAAGAACCGACTACGAATACCAGCCCTAGTATTCTATTCTATGTTTATGATAAATTTACTCGATCACTTTGAGCAATATATTTTAAAATACTAAAAAATACGTCTCTATGATTCATTTAATTTGTAGGTTTTAAATACCTATAATAAGAACGGACTATAATAAATACCAGCTTTAGAATATTTTCGAATTTATAATATATGTAAAAAAGATGATGTATATAGAATTCTCGAATTTCTCAGCACATTTCTGGAAAGTATTCCAACTTGTATAAAAAATTAAAAAAATTGTTTTTAAACTTTTTTTATATATAATTATATATAATTTTATATAATTATTTATTTAATTGCACAGTTTTAATATAAAATATTTTTTCCCGGAAAGTTATAAAATTATAAAGAATTTGTGAAAAATTCTGAAATTTATATAGAAGTCCTCTTATATCATATAAAGAATGAGTTCATCGAGTCTGTCACGTGGTCGATGACGTACGTTTATACATGCGCATAAAGCACTGCTTCGTTCTGTCGTTCTGATTGTGAGAAACTTATCTTCTCCAGTGGCTCCAGTGCTCCAGTATTGCGCGTGGTCTGTCAATTAGCGAGTCTGACGATCTCGCGTGGGTTTTGCCGACGTCATTTTACTGTGATGCTCATCGAGTTGCGATGTCCCTCTTCGTACAGTTCGGCAGCGTATTATTTGGCGTGCTCTCCTTAATTCTGGTTGTGCCGCCGGCCAATGGTTTCTCTTACGAAAACCTGCCCGCGGTCGCGATGGACTACAAGGTGCACGTTGACGCCGGCAAGGAGGACTGCTACTTCCAATATGTAAATCCGGGCGCGACATTCTACGTCAGCTTTCAGGTACCATCGCATCAGGCTTGGATGTCTATTCAGCGGCGAGCCGCGAGCGAGAATTTCATCCGTTTCGGATGAAAAATTGGATATGAGTATTAGAATGCGATTCGCTTGGTTGTGAACATATGGTTGCGTGGAGTTGGAGACAACTTTTACTCGAGATGTCTTTCTCCATATAACTTGGAGAGGAACACACAACTTATGAGCACTTTGCTCTAATAGCTCATGCACGTTTGTAAATTTCATGATTGTCCATCTTACTGTGAAAAACGTGATTTTATCGATTTGTTTTCCAGGAGATGTACATTTGTAAGAAGAGTACACAACTTTCACTTTTTCGTGACTATTCGGGGATCGTTTTATTTCTACATTTTCTTATGTATTTTTCTTCATAGAAACCGATAATAATTATTGCAATAATGACTTAAGAAAAAATTTGTACTTGGAATTAAGAATAAAACCTTTATTCACATAATTGTTACGAAATCACTGTCAGCATAAAAACTAATTTAAAATTTTTGATCTATCTATAAATATATATATAAGTGTCAAATTTTTAAATAATTGAAGCGTGACTGACAGCTATTTCGTAACAATGTGAATAATTTTATTAACTTTATTTCAATATACCAACCTTTTCTTGAGTGTAGCGTCATAATTATAATTTTCAGTTTCCATGAAGAAAAATACATAAGAAAATGTAGAACTAAAATGATCCCTGAATGGTCATTAAAAAGTTGTATTCTCCTTTTGTAATTTTGTAAGACCTTGAAATTAATAATCTTGATTGTATGCAAATAATTATTTTATATCTGATACATGCAAAATCTTTTAAGAATCATTTATTAAAAATTGCGTTTAAAAGATTTTAATAACAGAGTAAATAAACAGAGTAAATAAGGAAAAGCATGTTACGCAGACGCAATGTTGGAATAAAAAATAACTCATATATGGCTATATCAATATTACATTGATTCAAGCAGTTTGTTTTAATTGTAGGTCTTGCGTGGTGGAGACGGAAAAGCTGGTTTTGCAGTAAGAAATCCAGAAGGAGTTATAGTTTATCCTTATCAATGGCGCCCTAACGCTGATTATCAGGATCAATCAGTAAATGGTGGTTATTATAGCGTATGCATTGATAACCAATTTTCAAGATTTGCTGCAAAATTAATCAATTTGTACATTACAGTGATTAGGTAAGACAACTGATTTAACAAAAATATATATTGTGTTAGAAAAATAGAGATATCTGTAGTAAAGTAAATCTATTATTTTCACACATAATCTGTCAGTCACAATTACAGTCTGAGATAGAGTGATTAATGAACAGAAACCTTAACTGTGTTGTAGGTATGATAAGTGGCAGAAATATACACAGGAATTAGAAGAACTGAATCTTTCTGTCGAGAACTTTACGGTATGTGTATCATATAAACTTTTGTAAGCGTTATAAGTATAAAAATTGTATTACAAATTAATTTATATATAATATAATACATATATATATTATATTTATATATAATATAATATATATATATATTACTAATATATATAATATATAATTAAATATTATATAATAAATATATTTATGTATATATTGTATATTTTATATAATGTATAATTAAAAATATTATATAATACATTATATGTTATATTATTATTATCTTTCTCTCTTTCAGAGTACAATCGTGAATGTGGAGAAAAACATTAATGAGATGCTCCAAACTCAACATTGGAGCAGAAGCAGAGAAGCAAGAGATTTGAATCTGCTGTTGGACAATAATTCTTATGTGCAGACATGGTCGATCGCGCAGGTAGTTGTTATTACGTTGACGACTATGATCCAAGCGTATTTCGTCAGAAAGCTGTTCGATGTGAAACCATCTGGACATTCCAAGACACGCATTTAATACTGATGTATTGCAATCAATTGTTTGCTCGATAAGAGTACCGTTCAATACGTGTTGTGATAAGCCTATCAATTTATCAATATCGTAACCAGTTTATAGATAATGGCATAAATTATAACGTATAGGCAACTTGATTAATGGATTTTTAATTGCGATTTTGAATGCTTTACTCATTATTAGTTGACATGCTTATATGTTATTTTTATGCCATTATGTAAATTCATGTGCAATGATTTTTTAGAGACTGTCTAAACGTCGAAAATATGATGAGATACAAGAAATTGAAAAATTTTCTGAACATATATTTTTTTATGAGTAAATATATTTGATCTTATAAATATATTTAGACGAAGATTAGTCTCAAATAAATGGAAACAAACTTCTAATTCGCGAAAATGTAATGAAAAATTCACGTCGATTTTGTATCGACATCGATTTACTTTCTATCAAAGTTAATATATTATTTATATCAATATATATCAAATGCACTGTTTTTTTATAATTTTTAGAAAGTTCTACATAATTGCAGAATATTTCTTTCGTTATTATTTAATAATAAAAATCTTATGATATATTCATAAGTTGAGAGCACCTTTTATACAAAGTGATTCATCTTAAGAGGCAAATATCTCGAAAATATAATTTTATCAGAAGGACATTTCAAATAAAAATTATATGACATAGAAGATGAGAATGCAATTTTTATTGAGAATGTTTTTTTGATAAAATGGTATGTATCCGAAATATTTGCCTGTTAAGATTAAAATGAACACTCTGTATATTATATAAGACTGTCTTACGCATTTGTAAAAACTGCATTTTCAACATTCATCACAAACTTTTATTCACTTTTGTTTTCAACTTTTTTAATTTCAAATATTCTCATACTTCAAGTCGAAGATATTTAAGAATAAAGAAATATATGAAATAACGTTTATATTGTATTTGTATAAAAATAATAAAAGACTCATACTTTTGTTACAATATTCTTTTTTTTCCTTTCTCCACGTCTTTATATACAATATACATGTAAAATATAAAATATATCATTATCTCTCGTGTCAGCTTTCTGTAGCTTCAGTCTACTATAATAAAAGATTTTAAAAATCGTTTTTCACTTTGACGATTGATGTTACATTGGCACATAAGTTAAATGAAATATTCAATACTGAAATATCGTAGAAATCGTGTATGTATAACAAATAATTTATTAATGATCACAATATCTGAGTGATTCGAGCTCAGATCACATTTTAATTTCGTCAATGAATCCCCTGATTTTGTCTCGCTCTTCTTTGCTGTATTACACTGTTGCTGAGTGCTAAAAGACGATGTCGTTGCTTCAAATTTCGTGCGCGCACGTGTTCCGATGCAACCTCCTTCGTATGATTTGCCGGAAACCATCCTTGTTCGCCGTCTAATAATTTTTCACCGTGATACCAGCCATCTGCCATTTTTCTCAATACGTTTATTACGTCTCCTAGAGAATAATATTTGAAAATTCACTAGAATTATGATTTTTTCATTATAACATTTTAATGGAAATATATATAATTATTGAATTATGGAGCATTGTAAGAGCAAACGTTTTTTGAAGAATCAAATTTTGTGAGAAAACTAGAGTGTGTTTCTGATATTTTTCAATTATTTTTCAATTATTATATACAGGGTGTCCCATAACTCACCTGACAACGCTCGTGGGCAGGTAGAGCGGACTAAACTAAGTCGAAAAGTCCTCTACTATTTTGTAATTTTCGCAATAGTTAACAAGATATTAATTACTAAAAATTGCCGAATATTGGTCTTTAATAATTTTTTTCTCAAATACTATCAATTTTACAAAAAAACTGCAAGAGACAAAAATTGTCGGTGGGTTGTACATTCGGCAACAGTAGGCCGACCGGACGCTCTTATTCGGTTTAAACTTTAATATCTCCTTAACTATTGCTGACACCGCAAAATGGTACAGGACTTTTCGACTCAGTGTAGTCTGTTCTACCTACCCACGCACGAAATATTTTGCGGTCGTTGCCAGACACCCTGTATATATATATACGAGGGGGGACCCATAAGTTCCAGGAATTACGCTGTGGTGGGGAGGGAGAGTGGGGGAACCTATTGTTTGACCACATGTCCGTTAGTGTCACGCCACCTGCGTCAGTGTGCAAAGTTGTGTCGCTGTGAGTGCATCGGTTCGCCTGTGAGATTTTTTTTTGTAAAACAACTTTTTACATTTCGGCGAAAACGTAATGGCAGATTGTCGAGAACAACGCGCGGCTGTTCAAATGGTGGCAGATTGTCGAGAACAACGCGCGGCTGTGAAATTTTGTTTCCTGTTGGGGAAATCGGCCGCGGAAACTATTGTAATGCTTAAGACTGCTTATGGGGATGCTGCCTTAAGTAAAACCAGAGTTTACGATTGGTTTTCACGTTTTAAAAATGGAGAAATGTCTATTGAAGACCAATTTCGTTCAGGACGCCCCTCAACGTCAAGAACTGATGAAAACGTCGACAAAATCAATGCCCTCGTTCGTGAAGACCATCGCCGAACCATTGATCAACTCTGTGAGATGTCGGGAATGTCATGGAGTTCAATTCAGAGAATTTTATCCGAAGATTTGCACATGAGAAGGGTTGCAGCCAAATTCGTCCCGCGACTTCTCACAGACGAGCAAAGGGAGCGTCGACTTCAGGCATGTTTTGAGCTTCAAAATCAGCTCGAAGAGGACCCTGAATTTTTTTCCAAGGTGATTACTGGTGATGAATCGTGGTGCTATGGATACGACCCCGAAACAAAGCAGCAATCAAGCCAGTGGAAGACAGCTGGCTCTCCTCGTCCCAAAAAAGCTCGCCAAGTGAAGTCAAACATCAAGACAATGCTCATTTGTTTCTACAGTGGCAAAACGCTTTCCTTTCATATTCCTTTTGAGTCTGGGGAACAAAAACCTCCAAGTAGAGCTTCTGGTTGGCAGTTTGACCCGGGGGAACGAACTCCGCGTGCACAACACCTCTGCAATCGAATCTGCCACTGTGGAGGAGGTGAAACAAAAATCGCTGGAAGGCTTAAAGGACATCCCGATGAGTGAATTTAAAAACTGTTTTGAACAATGGAAGAATCGTTTGGAGAAGTGCGTTGTGGTCAATGGCGAATACTTTGAAGGTGATCAAAATTTGGTGTTAAAATATTGAGAAATAAAGAAGTTATGACGAAATTCCCGTTTTTTTTGGGTCCCCCCTCGTATATATATATATATATATATGAGATATTTTTTATAACTATTAAATTTTATATTTAATATTAATTTTGAAATTTATGAAACATTTTAAAGAAAATAATAAATTCTTATTAAGAAAATATTGTTTTTTTTCTTAAAGCCAAAACAATTCTATTGATAATATCTATTTAATAATAGGGGAAGGTCACCGATACCGACATACTACTTTATTTTTAGACAATATTTCTTAAACGAAAGGTAAAAATACAACTTCAAAAACATAAATACAAACTAAAAAAATTTCTTCTATCAGATAGTATAAGCAGTTTTTATAATACTGTTTGCAATTTTGCAATAATTAAGTTTTTCGTAAGTTATGCAAAAATGAGCGTCTGATAAAATGGGCTCCAAAACTGACATAGTAGGCAATATAATGTCAATATTCCTATTCTATAAATAAAAATATATCCTATTCTGTCAAAGAAAACTAATTTATGAAACCATAAACATTTAAAATATCATCAATAATACAGTCACCATTATTTTAATTATGCAATTTGCAAAAGAACACCATAAGAATTTTCTTCTCAGATTCATAGAATTTGTTTTTAGCTGATTTGGTATAGAAATAAGCTACAAATATATGAAAATTATGAGTTTGTACTTCTTTAATTAGCTAAACAGATCACGTTTTTATTAGTATTATATTAATAAGACGCAAAGGTTAGTTTTTAAGAAATAAGGGGACGTCGCTTTAGGAGACCTATGTCAGTATCGGTGACCTTCCTCTATATATGGAACATTTATGAAAAAGATTGTGGCGTGAATATATTACCTGATTGTAACGACAGCTCGTCAGGTTGATTTGGCAAATATGGATATTTGGCCATCACTTGCGGGCAGTCCCAAGATTCATATAACGTTTCCCCAACTAAACCACGTTTGGGTGGTGAGACAGCCTCCAGCCATCGTTCTCGTTCTGTGTTATTTTCACATGTTAAGATGTATTCTACGTGGCGACCGCAATGGTTCTCCAGAAAAGTCAGTATCATAGCATTCCGTCCAGCGAATGGCGATTCTTCGGAAGCCGACTCTAAAGCCAGAAGATTCCGTTTGCACGCGTCTATGACGGTGTAGCATTCGTCATGAGCACTGCAAAGTATTTTATTTTAAACTTCGTTCTTATCAATGAAAGAATTTATTCGAAAAAAGAAACCTATAAAAAAATATTATAAGTTATATTATAATATAAATTGTATTCCTGAAGATCCATTTATTCGTATTTTTTCTATATAAGAATAAGCCGAAAGACAATTTTTAAAAGAATATTTCGAAGATTTCATAAAAATCTAGACGTAAAATATTTCGAAGACATTATACAAATGTCTTTCTGATAATTTCATAAGACACCCCCATAATTTTAAGACATTCTTGCTGTTTTTAATAATATTTCATTGATACTGAACTATATTAGCCCTTGAAGGACATAAATCTTCAAACAATAACAATAAATAAGTTAAAAATCAGCTCAATTTTCCAAAGTAAAAAGCAAAGGACAACTCTCTCTCTTTCTCATAAAAATTATAATTATAATGAAACTAGTTGTGGTAGAAACCGGGATGCAACGAAACAAACAAATGTAATTATGTCAATTATGTTAAATGATATCTTACTTAGATTTCAATTTCGTGACTAGAAGATAATCAGTGAGTAATAGAAGGTAGAGTGGTGTCTTGGTAAATTTCTTTCCGAATGTGAGTTTATATTCAGTGTCCGTTTTCATCGACAGTTGCACGACCGATCCACTTCGAACTAACTGCTTGCCTCTCAACATGATTGGCTTAATTTTCGAACTATACTCCAGTTTCCTGTGATTAAAGATATGTAACTTATTTCATAATATATAATACGTAAAAGAACGTACAAAAGAATGTATAATATCAAATAATAATATGCAATACCTTGCCAAAGCTTCCATTTCGGCTTCCTGTGCAGCAGCTCGCGCACCTTCGTTGCATTCAGCAACGACGTTGCTCAAAGTCGATAAGACCTTTTCCCAAAATATTCTGTCTGAATTTCCCATCGATAATTTGGAAAGAATGGCGTCAGCTAATAAGGGTAGTCTGCGCAGAATTATTGATGTGTAAATGATTTCTTTAATTCTACATAAATCGATTAATAATAATTACGTGAAATGCAAAATTAACACACACTACTAAATAAACTTCAATATGTCAAGACAGTAATTGTGTATCCAGACAACATGCATATCCAAAATCGGGACACAAGGCGTCGTAAAGAGGATTATTTTTTATATTCATATCGTATTATACTCACCTTGTAACACGCTGCATTGGTAGCATTAGAAAGGAATGTAGAGATAGATTTTGGCATGCCGGTTGCATTTCTATACGTTTGACAGTCTCCAAGAACTTTACGCCTCTTCGAGCTCTGCAAATAGAATAAATAATAATAACTATATCCCAAACAATATGTATTTATTATATTATTATATCTCAAACAAAAATATATTTTATCTAAATCCTTTTCAAAATACAAATATAAAATGCGATTTTATGGCATCGCTAATTATCTTACTTGAGTTCTTTCAGGGCTGTATCTATGCTGACTTGATTCGAGCAATACGCTACGTATGTGGCCTGACATTTTTCGGCGTGTTTCAGTAAGACTTCCGATAAACCCGGCAACATCGGATCTTCTCTCCACACAGCTTCTAATTCAGCTAGGAACGTTTGCGATGCCGACAATACGCTTGGCACCCCACCGAACAATTTCTTTCTTTCGATCGGCGTTAGAATCTCATTTATTAGTATGTGATTATTGAGGAACTCATTCTCTAGGACCCGAAGAGAATTTAAGTACGACGCTTCGGAAGTCAAGATCTCAAACTTCGCTTCTTGAATCTTCTTCTCTTCCGGTGTTAACTTCTCTAATATTTAAATTCTTTTGCTAATTTTTTATGATATCTTCTTATTCTCGATATACTTCACTATATATGAAAAATATTTTTCTAATTAAATGTACATTATATTGTTTAACTTACGTAAGAGGCCACTGTGTATCACTTGTGGAGTATGACACCAAAGCATTCTTTGCCCTGCTCTGGTAAGATTCGCTGTGGCTGGTTCCATCTTCCTCATCATATCTTCTACCTGTAAAAATGAAAAATTATATAGCAACATCGTATAAAGTAGCACTGTGTTGTTTAAATTTTATAAATCGTAAAATAAAAAATAATTTGTCATATAGTTTTAAAAAGTTTTAAAAGTAAAAATTCTTTTAGTAAACTATGCAATACAAAATACAATAAAATATAAGGAAGAAGAATTAATATTTTTATTTTTTAAATAACTGTATAAATCCTAAAAAAAAATAAGAATTCTTTTTAATTCTTATTAATTCTTCTTCAATTAATTGAAGACAATAATAATAAAAATCCGGGCAAGAGAGAATAGGCGCTAAAAATTGTGCACTAATATTATAAGAATTCAAAATTAATAAAAAAAATCTTGTTACATTATACAGGGCGCCCTATAAAGACCCGAACAACGCTTAAGGGGAGATTCCTGAGATTATTTTGAGACGAAAATTCTAATACCAAAATGTTGAGGCTATAATAACTTTTGAATTATAATTGGTCAAAGATAGTGTAATTCGAAAACTATTATAGCTTCGATATTTTCATTATTAGGATTTTCATTTTAAAATGTTCAAAAGAATCCAGAAATGATAATAGAGGCTATAAAAGTAAAATGATTTTTTACTTATAAGCATTTAAAGTCAGCTTATAGTTCAAAAAATTGTTGTAGTCTCGACATTTTCGTATTAGGATTTTCGTCTCAAAATAATCTCAGGAATCTCCTCTTAAGCGTTGTTCGGGTCTTTACAGGACACCCTGTATATATAAAGAATACACATTAATATATTTTATTTACCAAAATCATCAATAAAAATATCTATTCGAAAAAATTTCTTTGGAAAAATGCCTTGTATATGAATTTTAATTAATGTAAGAACATTACCTCTTCGTAGCCTTCGGAATCCGATTCGAAAGCAACACGAGCCACCGCAGCCGCATAGAACTGGTAGAGAGGCTCTTGATCGGCGAGCACACTGTAATGATCTAAAACAATAATATTTTGTCAATGCAGCTGATTTCCGTAATTCATGGAAGAACGACAATCAAGTATCAACGAGACCGCATAAATCTTTTGGCGTGTACGTTAATTAATTAGTAGGAAGTACCATTATAGAGTCCCGTGAAAGTGCAGTACAAACGTGCGCTTTTTACGCGTCGGTGCAGCGAGTGGAATTCTTATGCATATAAAAATACCAAAAACCGTAGAGCAAAAACTTGTTACTTGGCTTATGAGAATCGCTGAATTATTTAGCCTGTGCTTGGTAAAGTCAGGTTACTCTCATAGATGCGTTAATAAAACTCGTTTTCTCTCGCGATCGTTTGTAATGTCTAATTTATTATTTAAATAAATTTACAACGAATCATCTATAGACTATTTTGCGTTCCTGAAATCTTATTGTTAAACAACTGTCTGTAATAATACTTCTGCTTTTAAGATATATCATCATCCACAATAATTTAATTCACATTTATTTATCAATTTAGAATAGCGCATCCATTTCGTAGAATTCAATAGCATTATCGTGCACGTAATTGCCGTAAATTAGAAGAGAAAAAAAAATTATAATTTGGAAACTATTGAGAGACTCACCGACATCGGTGTCTGTCGGAGTTCTTGAAGAGTCGTCGCTGCCGCTTCCCATATATTGACTATTGGTATAAATCGCCTCCTTGACGATGCCGTTGTTATTATCGCGAATGCCATCATTTCCGTTGTTCTCATCGAGGTAGAAAGTTGGCGGGCCAACGATACTCTTTCGGCTGAAGTGCTTTAACCGGAAATTGAAATACTTTCCAACATCGGCGTGAGGCTCGTTGACGGATTGCTCCTTGTCGTCAAAGCCAGACTCGTCGACGGATGTCCGCCGCCTGATCCTGCCGAGACTGCCTTTGGTGATGCTCCAGGTTCTGCGTAGCATCTTTATTCGCTTGCCCAAGGTCTGAGTTAAACTGATCTCCCTTGGCGGCGGTAGAGTCGGTCTTGTAGGACATTCCAAATAAGCATCGATCACGCGATCACTGCGGGACTGTCGCGTAATGTCCGTTTCCGTCTCTGAATCGCTGCTGAGGTCATTCGGTTGGCAGGAATACAGACTCTCGTATGTACTATCATCGGAAATGTTATCTGATAAAGAAAAAGTCCGATCAGGGAAACCGGAAGTTACCAAGCTGTTATGAGGATGTTATACCCCATTCTTCGTTCTTTTTTTAACTTCAAACGTAGCGAGAAAGTGTCTTTGTATAATCAGTTGTAAAAAGGATTTTTAAGATATAGATTAATATTATATCTTAATCTTTATACTATTTAATATATATATATAGTCTATAAGAATTCGCAATGAAATTAAAATAGCTTTTATATAGATAGTACCCCAGTGAAATTCAGATTCCAGACTGTAAAAAGAAATGTAATTATAATATGTATAATTTTTAATTGATTTATAATTATGATCATGTGTGTGTGTGTGCAAAATTGATACATAAAGCTTTATTTAGTTTATTCAATAAATATAATAAACATAAACAAAAATATCGTAGGTCATCAGTGATCTATACACAGCGTAGCGCAGGACAAATCACTTAAAATTAGCGCGGCACGGAACGTGTTAAACATCCTCAGGCTGTTTCAAGGATATTTGAAAAATAATATTAGAACAGATAGAAATACAGTGCCGTTCATTGAACGTTCTCTGACAATCAGTACTTAAATTTACTTTTGTCTTATGCTCGTTTCCAAGTAATTTAATTTTTTATTTTAGTTCAACTAACTCTTCATCTTTTTCTAATTCTAATGCCCATTTCTACCACACTCAGAGAAAAAAGTCGTATCAGTAACTATAAATTTATAGTGAAATAGCGTCTCAACTATATACATAATATTAAATTCTTAATAAGAATACTAGATTAAGTGAACTAAGAAAATATAGTACATTAACCATATAAACAATTTATAAATGGTTAATATTACTATATTTTCTTAGTTCACTTAATTTACTTATTGTTGTTATTAAAGCTTTATAATACATAGTTACAAATTTGTGTATGCATTTCTTATTTATTTTTGTCTTCCAAGTTTGAAACCAACGCTGCGCCTTTTATCGTAAGCTGAGGGGTTTCCTTCTTAGGAGAAAAAAACTGAACTCCGCTACGTCCCTCTGGTGACAAAGCCGCGTACTACTCGTACTGAGCGACCCTTTAAAAATTTTTGTCTAAACTAGAAAAATGTAATTGTTATATCTATTTGCATGAAGTCCAAGTAACTACTCAATGTAGTTGAGTCACTATTTCACTACCAATTAATAGTGCATACAATTTGTTACCGTGACTATATTTTTATAATATTCAGCACTACTTTAGTTTCTATTACTTTGTAAAACTAGTTACAGGTACTTCAATTGCAAAAGTTGCCAAATTTATAGTTGCTAGAACTATTTTCTCTCAATGCAATGTAGTTTAATTTTAATCTTAGTTCAACTAACTCATCTTTTTCTAGTTTTAAGAATTAGAAAAAGATGAAGAGCAAGAAGTACCGATAACCCAATTAAAGTTAATTTATGTTGGTAGAGAAACAGGTATATTAATAAATATATCACGAAAGGAAGGAAATTTAAACGTCAGACGTCGATAAAAAATTTCAACAATCCACAATTCTTTTCATCTTTTCGATAGCGTTTTCTGAGGTACCCCGCATAGGTACCTTCGTGCACGTAACATGACGTCTCCTGGGTGTCCACATCATCGTCGAGACTGATGACGCGCAGTTGCACCAGGCCCTGAGTTCTCCGTGGCAGATCGTCGCCCCGGCCCATCGATTTCCATTCCTCAGCGGTCTTTTGCGTCTCGCTGCCGATGAGAAGTATCGATCCGCCGCCTAGGCTGACGGCCACTTGAAATCATCCGGTTTCAAGGTCAGACTCGCCGAGCCAAAACCGAAGAATCCAGAGGCATGCACGCTCTCACCCACGCGCGCTGGACCACGAACGAGGGAACGCGAGAGAATATAATACTGGGAGTCAGCGCGATAAGGACAAACACGCACAAGGTGAGTCAAATATGGCGAAATATGCGATCAGATTCCCCACCACAATGGAATTTCGTATCCATCGACGATGACGAACTTTCGTTTTGCAGAGTTGGCTGACAATCGACAGTTTTATGTAATACGCACGTAATCGAAAAATATCTATCGAAATATTTGTTCAAACGTCCTCGCGAAGATTTCACGGATAAATTAAGATTCATCGTGCGTCGTGAATGATGATCGAGCATGAATTCGAACGAGCTTTTCTGAGAGGAAAAGAGAGTGTAGTTTACTATGATCTTCTTTGCAATCTCTCAGAAGAAAGTAGAAACTCTGATTACTTTTCCGCGCTGCTTCCCTAAGAGTAACTTGCGAGCATCATCTAGCTATGACAATCTATGTTAAAACGAGAAAGGAATTTTTGATGAATTAATCCCTCTACATTCAGATCTATATTCAAACTTTTAACGGATACTGAGAATACTTCTTGAAAATGAACGAACCAGAAGATTCTGATCATATCAGAATTCTGCACAGTAAAAAATATTTTGGTCCACTACATTCCTTGTTAAAATTTTGTGTTGAATTTTTAACATATTCGAGTGTTAATTTAACATAATGTGATTATGTTATTTAAATTTATGTTAAATTTATGTTAAATTAAATTGAATATTCAACATTTCTTAGTGTCAAAATAACACAATTTATGAGTAAATTAGCAAATAACATAAAATAACATAAAATAACAATGATGAATGAATAAAATATGTTCTTGAGGCTTTCACGGGTGTTACCTATTTAGTATCAGGCTGCTCCTCGCCCTGATGAAGTGAACTGCAAGGTTCACGAAACGTTGGCATTCCAAGAATGGATCTGAACACGGAGAAAACCCGCGAAACGCAAGATTGTCGAATAAAATATGTGTTAATTAATACATCATAAATGTTAATTTTGCTTAAAAAAAATATGTTTTCACAGTTTGTTTACGAACTCTGTCAGTATTATCCTTTTTGTTTTTTAAAATAATATTTGTGTTAACTTCTAACATATTTATCTTGCATTAAATTAATACATAAATTTGAGTGGATCGTTTGGGACACACGAAATGTCCTAAATTTAAAACAAATTTTTCAGTGTGATTATCTCAACCAAAATATAATAAAATATAACAGATTGTCAACTGTAAAATTCTTGTCTATTTTCAACCAGAATTCCAACTAATGCAATTAGACTCTTTTTTCTATTGTAGTACCTATATAAAGACTTAGATACAGAAGATAATGTAAGAATGAAATCATGAAATGTACAAGTTATACACTTCATCGCACTGGCAGAATGTAACGAAATCTTCGCAATTTAGAATTGGAGTAAAGACATGGCAACGAATATGTGAGAAAAGTTCTAAATATAACATAGAACGCAATTAGAAAACATGTTTATTATGCCGGCGATTTCTCATCGATGGCGCGATCGACGAATCAAGGACGTTTGTGAAGGAAGTTCCGCGACAACTGCCCAAGGAACACAACAAGAGAAAGTAAAAATACTTCATTTTAACGTCATGAAAGTCAAAATAATAATTTTTACTACATAATGATAAATTTTACTGTTTATTGATGTTAAAAATTAAGACAAAGTTATTTTTTATTTTTGGTTGAATTTTGTGTATTCCTTGAGTGGTCCATCGTTACGGTTGCTCCTGCTGAAGATTCCACTATCTCGTCAGAAATCGATTGTCACTATTAAAATTGTTACTGTTTTGTAGTGCATTCTCTAAAAGAAAAATCATCAAATCTTTTCCATCAGCCGGAGAGCTAGAAATTCGTTCAAAAAACTGGAGTCCAAAAGCTGAAAATCTGGGAGACGAATAATCGTGATTATTCTCCAGTTTGGAGATCTCCGTTCGAAATTTGGCGAAATTCGGCGTGTTCGAGGACGCGGGCGTGCGCGAGCAAGCAGCGGCTATCGGGCCTCTCTCGTTCCTTTACCTTGCGTGTTGGGTCGTCGGATCTTCAGCGTCTCTCTCATTTCCACATCTCGTCTCGGAGCGCAACTCGACGAGTGAGACGCGAGTTCCGACGAACGCGAAACGCGTCCGCGATCGATCGCGCGCGCTTCGCACACGTTTTCGTGCGGCAGGAAAAGAGATTTTTTTCCCGCGAGGAAACTCCGTCTTTCTTGCGCGACGACTTGTTTCGATGATTTTCGCGTTGCGAGAGAACCGCAAAAGAAGCGACCGTACAGCTCGCGTCTCGGCCGTGACTGACAATGAGAGCGCGCAATTGGCGCTTTCACCTCGCGCGCTGGTTTCTTAAGGAGCTCTCACACGATCTCTTTAAAGCAACTCTCACACAATAAGCTTATTCGAGGAATAAAGCGTTCAGTTTATACCCATTTCTATCTCAATGTAAATTAATTTTAATTTCGCTTCAACTACACTCAGAGAAAAAAGTCGTATCAGTAACTATAAATTTGTAGTGAAATAGCGCCTCAACTATATACATATTATTAAATTTTAATAAGACTACTAGATTAAGTGAACTAAGAAAATATAGTACATTAACCATATAAACAATTTATAAATGATTACTATATTACTATATTTTCTTAGTTCACTTAATTTACTTATTGTTTTTATTAAAGCTTTATAATACATAGTTACAAATTTGTGTATGCATTTCTTATTTATTTTTGTCTTCCAAGTTTGAAACTAACGCTGCGCCTTTTATCGTAAGCTGAATGGTTTCCTTCTTAGGAGAAACTGAACTCCGCTACGTCCCTCTGGCGACAAAGCCGCGTACTACTCGTACTGAGCGACCCTTTAAAAATTTTTGTCTAAACTAGAAAAATGTAATTGTTATATCTATTTGCATGAAGTCCAAGTAACTACTCAATGTAGTTGAGTCACTATTTCACTACCAATTAATAGTGCATACAATTTGTTACCGTGACTATATTTTTATAACATTCAGCACTACTGTAGTTTCTATTGTTTTGTAAAAGGTACTTCAATTGCAAAAGTTGCCAAATTTATAGTTGCTAGAACTATTTCGTCTTCTCTCAGTGTAATTCTTCATCTTTTTCTAGTTTTGAGAATTAAAAAA